TACTAAAACTGTTCTATAGGAAAGTTGAGTACCGATTACTATATTTAGGGCTTAAACTGAAATAGAATCAATTACCAAATACTACTACACTGAAGCTAAATTAACGTTCACATTATAACTGAGGCCGTATTAACAAGTTCTCGTTGATTTAAGTAGGTTCACGAAGTCACAACAGGTGGTCGCAAGTTGAGCGTGTTCGACGTACACCGCTGTCAAGGATATTTGGGCATTGTTTGATATACAACCTCCTAATTAGTTGATTGAACGTTTTAATTGATTTGCAATATAGTTACAGGCTGACAGATATTGATATTTTCGAATAAACATCGATCGAGTTCCATGGAGTTGCGTGACATAGTTTGTAGTGTTTTGGACTTACACATTCTAGCTAATATCATAAATCGCGCTCATTGTTAGCCATTTTGGCTAGAGATAAAATGGCGTATTCACCTTTCGCCTGACACAGGTGCTTACCAAACACTGATGTTTTGGGAGGCACTTGTTTCGGATCCAGCGGGAGGAGTCGTCATTGTAAGGACCACCTGGAGGACATGGTGTAACTTATGGTTTGCTGTGTGCCTAGAGACTAGAGAGGTGATCGCAATGGCGATCTCTCATACCCGAAAATGTTAATGTTGTTTATTTTATTACGAAAAAACTACTGAATGAAAATTGACACATAGATGCATTATAGCCTAGATTAATATAAAAGCATAACTGCTGACAAAAGCAAGTAGATATTATAATAAAGTCTGAACGCTTTAGCAGATACCAGGTTGAATTTCAGAACTACTGACAAGTCAATTATCATGTTGTCTGTAACGGTCGAAATTAACTGATATTACCTAATCCAAAACTCAGTGGAAATCGATTAGGTATTACTGACATTTAATGTATACAGCTTCTGTTTGATTAAAAATACATTTAATAATCATAGCTATAAGTACCATGCATATGTTTATGATTGCAATGGATTAAATTAAAATAATAATTTATGTAAGTTAATCTGAGGCATTGGGAAAGGGGCTGGCAATGCTTTTCTCCTATTCCTCTTTCACAAATCCCCAGTCTGCAAATCATTAACAACTATAAACGGCCCGCAAAGTAACTGTAACTCCTTTGGAGTTCAAGCGATTGTCTATGGACATCGCCGAATGTTAACCATCACATGATCCGTCTGCTCGTTATCCAATCTATCCCCCATAAAAATGAAAATCTGAATTTTGCTGCTAGTAAAGCGGACTACGTACCAGAGTGGAGTGCTTGTTACCATATTCATTATTTTATTAAAAAATAAATCTGATTTAAAAAGTTTGTTTCTAGGTCATGTGACAGCTTGTGATAAGTTATACGTTTTACTAAAATGTAATTAAAAATATTAACATTTTGGGTCCATGTTGTTTTGTTTTACTAATTTGTTTCAGGGTCTCATCTGTTCTAGACTCCGTTTATTGTCAGCCTAAAGGTTTATTACAAGGCTATGGTATTAAATATTATCATGTTAATTTAAAATCCGGATTAACTTGATTTCCCTTTGCTTTAGACATATAGGTTACAATATTTTGTAGTTAGTAACGATCGGTTTCAATAATCTATCCAGTGTGACATTTGGGTATATCTGTACACAACTTTAAATAAATAAATAATAAACTACAGACTAGTTTGATGAATATAATAAAAGTTATTTTAAACTCTTTTCGAGTTTATTAGTTTTATATTAAGTTTGTAGATACGGAATAATAAAATGCTTTATAGAACGTCTTGTTTTCCAACAATATGTATTTTAAGCCTTTGACTGCCGACTGAAAACTATTGAAGGCAAATCCTCCGCTACCGTAGGTCACCGGTGACCTACGCGGCGGTTAACGTGTTAAAACATTTTATTGCATTGAAAAGACGAAAATGAAATATTTTTTACTAAATCATGTGTGTCAAAATTTATGACAAATTTTCTATTCGTAAGAAAGCTGTTGGATAATTTATTGGAACCAGTTGGAGATTTCGCTTTATTTGTTCGGTAAAGCTTAGAAAGAGCTGATTAGTATTTAATTTATCGCATTTGCGGACCTACTGTTCTTCTTTTGTGTTTCGTATTGCTACGATTGAAAGTATAAAAATTAATGATAAGATTATTATTTGTAATATTACCCAAACCGATTAATTACCCGAAATGCCTCGTTAGTTCTACTCGAAAGTGTGAAAGGTCTCAGGTTAGTATCACAGCGCGAAACTGTTTTCTGTTTTAGATCGATAATAGGGTGTTTAAAATTGTGCCCATTCTATGTTAATAGGCTCAATACCTACTCCAGTATTGGATACATAATCGTTCTTAAAAAGTGAGTCTTACTTTGTTTGCGTTTCTGGGTTTCCTACTAAGGGATAACAAGGGTCTACGGACGGCGAGTAAGTGTAGCTCGCCGCCCGATCAGATCAAGACCCGAATGTATTGCACGTAGCATACCGCGCGCGCCCCAAAGAGCTTATACCACCACAGGTGGGGACCTACAGGGCTGATGTTCAGCCAGGGCTGCGGCAAGGCAAGAGAAACAACGGGGGGTTTTGAGTCAGTAAGAGTCTGACACTTTTCTCGCCTTACCCTGGGCGGGAGAAGTCATTTGATGATTTTGCCCTGACAAAAACTTTGTAAAAGTTGTTTTTATGGAAAAAAGTAACAACCATCCGTCTATATTTATAAATTTTCGTCTTAATGATATAAGCAGAATGTGCTTATTATAGGTACATCAGCGATATAATACATGCAATATCAATAATGCTGAAGTATTGGAAACTCATCTCAAAATGTAAACATGGCAAATAACCCGTTATAAGTTCAGCTTAACGTTAGAACACAAAACATGAACTATTGAGACTCGTACCCCGATATATCATAGTTTATAATTATGTGCCTACCTATACCTAATTATAGAGAATGTCAGACATATTGCAAGTAGGTAAAATTTGCACATATCGCTACTTTTAAAAAGTAAATTTAATATAGGACTATTGTGATATCTCTTTGATTAGTGGATTATTAAAAAAATGGCATACAATTTTACCATTTTTATTTCTTGCTTAAAGGTCAACGCTGTAACTTAGAAAACGTGCAACAACTGATGTGATGATATACATACAATTCTTTAAACCGGGTTAAAATAAATTAAATTCTTTATGACCGCGTTTGGAAACAAGAAATACCTAAATAAAATTCTTGACAGGAACTTAAGTCCAAGTTAAGTAAGTAAGTGTATTTGAATATTTTAAAAATTTTACCAATATTGAACTAATAAAGTCGTAAAATATTTTATATTCATGATAAGTGACATAAGTGCCTTAGCTCTATATTGCTGGCTACTTTTATCCTAGGTCTCTGCATTACTCAAAGGTCAGACTGGTTTAGTAATCTCTAGGGCATCTAGTTTCCAGGATTGCTATCAAGCGCGATAATATACCACAGCCCCAGCCTTTTTTTTGTTAAGGGAAAATCATCTTATGACTTCTCCCGCCCCGGGTAAGGCGAGACAGAGTGTCAGACTCTTACTGACACAAAACCCCCCAGTTCCTTCTCCTGCTCTGGGCCGAGGTCGCGGTGCCTCATCAAGGCCCCCGGCCTGGAGCAGGATAAGGAATTGGGTGGTTTTTAGTCATTGAGAGTCTAATAGTCCTTATAGAAACAGCCAGGGCGGGACAAGACATTTCATGGAAGGGAGAAAAAGGGCATCTGGTCTGCCTAAATAGTACAAGTAAGGGCATTATTTTCTATAAATAAATAAAATTGGCGCACTATTAAGAATTTAGTTTTAGTCTCAAGTCAGGTTACCTATGTACTATTCAAATATTTTAAATTAATTATCGATTTATTGAGCCCACCCGTGAGAGTCAGTGAATAACAGTTCCATCACCTATACTTAAATAAGTGTGGGCACTTACTGCTTATCAAAGGCTTTTTCCCATATAGAGAAGGTTTGAGTTGTTGACTTTCATCAATAATCACACTTGCTCAAGGCAGAATTCTAATCTATGATTAGGAATAATATGTCTAAATAGTTTTAATATTTTGATTACCTACAACAGTCCCGTTGTAGAAAAAATACATCAATTTATTATAAACAACAACAATAATTTGATTATGGATTATAGGGTTCGTCTAGATTTTTCATTATCACCCTACATGCCACGCGGTTTCAAGATCTCAGTTTAAAATGTTTAGGTTTACGAAAGAATGTTGTCACGCTATCTCTTAAATCTAAAACTTTAATTTTTTAACATAAGGTTCTAACATAAATAAATCCCAAAGTTAAAATATAAAGGTACTTACCATAATTTAAATTAAAAAGTTTGTTGGCTGTTACGTGCTTATTAGTATGATACACGTAAAGTCACATATATAATACAGCAACACATTTATGACATATATAAGCGATAAAATAAACACGTAAGAACCCATACTTAAAAACCATCGAGATATAAGTACTAAGTACGTTAGTACTTATATCTCGATGTAAAAAACCATCAAAATTGTTTAAAAGTTATAAACCTTATTTCCTGTAGAAAATCCTGAATGAAAATAATTTAAATGTACTTACCAAACTGCTCCAATTAAATTGTCAGTTAACACACTTAACTTAACGTAAACAAAAGCTTTAAATATTTAAACGCAAAGACATTCAAAATAATAAAGAAATAACAACATGAACCACTGCGCTGCTAGCAAAAGAAAAAAACAAAACAAACAAATGCAAACTTTTCCTTATTGGCGCAATTTTTGAAATTAGAAAACATGTTTCTTAAAAAAAAACCAGCCAGTCTTCGCCATGGTTATTCTAGTTTATTTTTAATGAAGTAAAATAAGATTTTGCAATAAAAAAAGGTTTGATTTAAAATTAAAATTTATATAAAAAAATAAATGAATGTAACGTTATTATTTGCAGGAGATTATTTAACTTATGAATTTTGTTTAAAAGAAAATAATAAATATTAGAGTAATAACTTGTTGAACTAACCGGCCAGCAGCAAGGCAAGCACAGCGGTCGTGCAGGCTGCGTACGGTTTCATCGTTGCTTTCCGAATGCCGAATGCCGAGTGGTGTTTGCGGGCCCGCCTTATAACTTTAAGGCTGTACCGCCCTCGGTGATGTAGCATGTAACTATGCTGCGATATCGCACGTAAAACGTGACGTAGGTGTCACAGATGAACCTTTTTTGTGAACATGAGCTTATTTGAATAGAAGCTTTAGATCTTTATTTCGCGGTAGGATAAACAAAAAGGGAAGGGCCTTAAATGGTATTTAATTTATCGGACACACACAATGGATTCATTCTACATTTAGATACATGTGTTATAGAAAATTATTAAATGATATTTCATTTTGTTCAATTAAAAGATTATACTGTTTTTTAATTTGAATGGAACCTGTTTTTTTTCAAATGTGTATAAATTATTACGGCGCTTTGAACAAAAAATCACTTACAAAAAAAAATTCAAGTAATGTGTGTCTTTCGTTATTGTTGTAATTTTAATGGCTCCAAGGCTGCGTGCCTTAGCAAAAAAAATGTTTTGTTATAGATACACCAAATAGTTTCGATGGATTTCAAATATCACTTTATTTCAAAGTTAAAAATCCAATAATGATACTTAATAATTAAATAGTAACCTAGTGAAGGCTAGGTTACTATTGCGATATATGTAGAGGGGTGACGTTTTTTTCATTATTGTAAAAAAGAAATAAACGTTCTTATTTTAATTTAAATTTATTTTTCTTCTGAGAAGCATATTGTAGCTTTACCGTTACCTTTTACCTAATAGTAATGTATAAGTTAGGACATTATGTGTATGTATGGGGCGTTATCTCAGTAATTCTTGGACATATTTTGTCGTCATAAGTTTGATGTCAAGGTCAGGCATTTGGACTTTGAATGTTTATTTAAAGGATTTCAATGTTAGTCTCTGGAAATTAAGCTGACTCTTCCTGAAGATATTATAAGAGCTGGAGGAGGAAGTTAAATATACATTAAACCTAGGTATATTAACCTTATTATCTTTTAAATTCGAACATTTTTAATCTGCGTTTTTCTACGCGGCTGTCTGGAGATTATTTAAGGTAAGCCCTCTCACTTAAAGAAGGCATACAGTCCTAACACTGTACTATTGCGGCCTTTGATGACGACCTTTAATTTTTATATTTCTTTTTTTATAATCTCGTTATAGAGCTATAACTTAATGAATACTTTACTTTTTTGCTTGGCTATCATGTAGGTGCGCATTTAAACAGCAAAGTATTAATATGCAACGAGAAAGCTTAAAGTATAATAAATATAAATTGTTAACCGATAATCTGAAATAAAGAAAAATACCTAAACAAAATTTTGACTTTTTCATTTCATTTGTACAAAAACTTTAGGGATGTGTCATGTTAAAATGTATACGTCAATTGATCCTCAAATAATGACGTGGGAATGACCAATAGGGATATAATTGGCTTTATAACATACTACAATATACTAAACTATGTAATTGTATATGTCACAACCAATTATAATATAGGGAAACTGTTATAGAAACAATAACGTATTAAACTACAATTTTGTTAGCGGTAAAAGACCATAAAGTTATCCTTATTTACAGTTTATAATAGGTACATTTAATACAAGTGAATTCTATATAGGTAACTACATGGTGGCCCTTGTTCGCACGGGTATCGAAATATGTACCTACCTCACTAACGACGGTATGTATACCAATATTTCCCGATTTGCCACATTACTTTAAAAAAATATATATCGTGAGGAAAGGACGGTAAAAACAGAATAAAATTATTATTATCAAAATTGGTGCAGGCGTTGTTGAGTTACGCGCTTAAGTAGATGCTTTTATGTAGATTACAATTACGTTTGTATTGTTTTTCAGCTTATCTCTGTCCATTTTTTGAGCGGATAAATCGTATCTAAACGTAAGTCCCACCTATTCGTCCTAGTCTTCGGATCGTGTATTGTCTTGGGCTGAGCACTGCCGTGCCCTCAGGATAGTGATCGATGGCGGCGACCTCTCGCTGGTTGCGCCTAAGTTGAGGCCATAAAGCGGAGCGAGAGGAACTTTCATCATTCCACATTCTATCAAATCTAATCTTCATGAATGGTCTAAACTTTTAAACAAATCTTGATCGTGATGAACACCGTTTTAAAAAGTATTAATTCAATTAGGTGAATATTTTGATGGCTGTTAGTTTTTCGTGATCACACTTTGATTTTTTTTTACATTATATCAAAATCCATCCAGCCTTTTTGTAGCGCAGTGATGACGTAAACTGAGTTTACTTTTAGATTTTGTTGGAATATAAATATTTGTATTTATAGAAACGAGTACTACGTACTTACCTATATTATGTTGAGCCAATTTCCTTATTCCAGCTTCGTACAAATAACAATAATTAACCGATTTAAAGTGCTAAAGGTGAATTGAGCGGTTATTTACAAAATAATATATACATATTACATAGTCACCCACATTTAACTGTAAAGATTAGTAAGGATGGTCATTCAATACAATTTTTATGTCTGATATAACAGGTGATAGACACTTAAAACACATTAAAAGCAGTTCATGTGATAAATAATCTAGCTAGTTCTGGTGTGCAGAGGCGCACGTTTTCAATAAAACGCCTACATTGCATCACTTATGTTATTATATTCTTATGAGTAATATAAAATATTTATGTATAACCATTAGTTTATTCAAATGTAATTCAAAAAATTTTAGATATTTGAAACACTAACCTGTTTCTGCCCATCTAATCAATTAATTTCCTTAGTAATTAGTTCAATCAGGCAAGACTCATAGATCCTATTTAACCCTTTCACTGGAACAGTAAAAACGATTTCGTAAGAATTCAATTCATTAAAAAATTACAAAAGTTGACGCAACAATTTACGCGCTAAAACACACCCAGGGTTGCCGCTTAGAAAAACAAAACGGAACGACCTTTATTTATGAGTAATAATAGTCATTTGTCACATCTCTAATATATTACCAGTATCGATATCGAGTTTAATCGAAATGCAATATCCCCATATGATCAAAGAAAAATTGTTATTGGCTACATTTTTCTGATGATTCAATAATACTTTGATTTTAATTTAGATTTGTTGGTGCTTGTGGTTCTATTTGGGTAAAATATTCTTGTAGGTATCACCTTTCAATGTTGGTAACCCGAGACACAAAAGAAGAACAATAAGTGGTCGAACGCCAGCGTTCGCATGGGCTTTGATGAATTAGTATCGTAATAGTTATTATTATTCATTATTTGTATTTGTATAAAGTTGTTGCGTATGTGCAGGTAATTAACGGTGATATTCAGACTCATTTAATAACAATGATTTAAACTATTAATGCTTAAAAAAGGATTTTTAACGCATCCAGGCGCCAAGGGACGATCTCCGGCCACCGTAAGCGCGAGTCTGCGGACGGCGAGTAAGGGTAGCTCGCCGCCCGACCAGAACCAGACCCGAGCGTACGGCGCGTAGCGTTCCGCGCGCGTCTCAAAGGGCCAGTAGACCACCACAGAGGGGGCCCTATAGGGTTGATGTTATGCCGGGGTTGCGGGTTAAGCGCAATGAGTCACCGCGGCCTCGGCCCAGAGCAGGATAAGGAACGGCGGGGTTTTTAGTCAGAAAGAGTCTGACACTGTCTCTCGCCTTACCTTGGGCGGGAGAAGTCATTTGATGATTTTCTCTTCAAGTTTAAGAAGTAAATTGTAAATTAAATTGGCGAAAGAATAAAATTCTTTTTCTTTTGAATATCCAATTACTTGAATAAAACCAATTTGAATTCGGTTAATATCAGAAATTTCGTTTTTGGAACTAGTGAATTAAAAAAAATGTATAAGTACTAGCTTTCTTAGTTAAGTAATAAATGTAATCGTATATGATGATATTATAGGTATAAATTATTATATTTTCATATTGGGTTAACGTACAGCAAAACTTTGGAACGATCATCCGGCGGCGGTATTCCCGAACCGATACGACCTTCAAAGCTTCAAGAAACGAACGTACTCCTTCTTAAAAGGCCGGTAACGCGCCTGTGACTCCTCTGGTGTTGCAGGTGTCCATGGGTGGCGCTGATCACTAACCATCAGGTGATCCGTCGACTCCTTTGCCTTTATAAAAATAAATAAATAAATAAGTATTTATTGCTTATATTTATTTGATTTGACGTTTTAGTTGTAGGTTTAATACCTATTTGTTTCTATTATTACATTTTCTTCACACTGTGTCTTGAGTTTTATTGAAATATCCATCACAAAACTGTAGGAAGATATTGAAAAAGAATTATGCATTTGTCTATTTATATAACACATAAACATAATAATATATGTTTTATAAGGTGCTAGTTTTTGGCCCCGGCTTCGCTCCCGTCATATTCACCCTGTCCTACCCACCTTACCCAACCTACTTAACCCTATCCTATGCCCTTTCCCCAGTTTTAATTTTCAGCCAAATTGCTTCAGGCTTTCTTGAGTCATAAATAGTGTAACTGTGTTAGTTACACTTTTTATAACTCAAGAATGACTTTCTTTTATATTTATGTAAATAGAAATATATAGAAAGATGTGTTGTATATGAATAAACAAATAAAGTGTCCACCACCAACATACACATGTAATATGCGTAGACTTGTTGCAGCTGGGACTTGAAACAGGTAGGAGTGAGGTACTCAGTTTGAATACAGTTAGACAGCTACCAGCTAGTTGCAAACCCCAAACGGTTCAGTTAGCCATTGTAGCTAGACGAACTTCGGCAACGGATCGCACCCGTAACGTTTGTGGTCACGTTATTAAATAAACTTTTACTTATAGACTAGCTAGTTGACACTTTTAAACTTTTATATGTATATAAAGGAATATAAAGTCTCTCTTAATAAACTTATCTTTGAAAAAGTGGTGTACAGTCAGGGGTCAAAAATGCAATTACAATCTACCAATTTTAAAATGACTAAAATTTCTTTGTAGTAAAAGTTCAATGGTTCACAGCCAGTTTATTCAATAATTTAGATTCTATGCCATAAATTAAAGCAGTCCTTAACCATTGACTATATTCTATAAAGATATTTTGGTCATT